CCAGGCCACAGCAGAGAGCTGGATCGGAAGAGGAGCAGCCGGGACTAGAACCGGCGCCCATATGGGATGCTGGCGCTTTAGGCCAGGGCTTTAACCCGCTGCACCACAGCACCAGCCCCTGCTTTTTATTTTTAGTGACGTTGTAAACTGCTTCCTTCATTACCAAACAGACTTTTGTGAGTTCTCCTGTGGGAGGTGCTGTCATCTCAGGCACGCCTTTGCTGCCGGGCATGCAGACTGCTTGATTTGTGTGATTTGTTTCTGTGAACACCTGCTAGGTAACCACATTTCTTAGGGCATAAATGCCTCAATGAGGCATTCCTGGATCGCATGCTTCTTGAATCATTTTTGATTTTATATATATATGTAATTTAAAGATCTGTTTATTTATTTGAAAGAGTAGAAAGGAGAAGACAGATCTTCCATCTGCTGGTTCACTCTCCAAATGGCTGCAACAGCTGGGGTCTGAGCCAAGCCTAAGGCAGGAGCCAGGAGCTTCCTCCAGGTCTCCCATGTAGGTGCAGGGGCCCAGGCACTTGGGCCGTCTTCTACTGCTTTCCCGGATGCATTAGCAGGGAGATGGATGGGAAGTGGAGCAGCCGGGACACAGAGGAGAGCCCATATGGGATGCCAGCACTGCAGGCAGACGCTTAAGCCACTGTGCCACAGCCCAGCCCCTGGTTTTGATGATATGTTAGCAGGTTGTTCTCTGGGCTCGTTATCTAATGTAGCCAGAGAACGTCGCCTTCTTCCCCAGCCTGGTGAGAGTGACTGCTCTTTCTAGTGTATTTACTAACCCGATAGGCAGAAGTTGCTACTTACAAGTTCTTTCTCTCATCCTAGGCCTTAGTTGTTAAAATTCTAAATTTAAAAGCATAACGCTGTATCAGAGATTTAGATAAAAGTTGAGGTCATGACTTGTTTCAGGTCATGTGGACAGCTAATAAAAGAATTATGATAAGAGAACCCCCATATCAGCGTATTTTTGTTGTGAGACCAGATTTCTAGATTTCCTTTAGAAAATGAATTCTCCAGAAGTATACCTGGGGAACGGCAGTTGTTTGGCCCGGTGGCTGAGACTCTGGCTAGGATGCCCCGCCCACCTTGGAGTCCTGAGTGTGAGTCTAGCTCCTGTCCATGCGGACTCTGGGAGGCAGCTGTGACTGCTGACAGCCGTGAGGAGACCGGGTTGAGTTCCCAGCTCTGTTGCAGGCATTTGGCGAGTGAGGCGGTGTGTGGGAGCTCCCTCTCTTTCTCTCTGCCTCTGAGATTTGCTTGACTCTCCTGTTTAGAAAGTAATAACTTTGTATGAAGTAAATACGAAACAGCTTATTCTGATCACCTAGAAGGGTCAGTTCTGTAAAGAGTCTGTTTACAGAAGTGAGTGATTGGAAGTGACAGATGCGCCTGGCAGGCTGGCTGGAGTCACACATCTGAGGAAGCGCCCAGAGGGAAGACATGTGCTTGTGTTCTAGCCCAGAGCACCGTCAGACCATCACCTTTTGTCCTTCTGCCTTGGGAAACAAAACGATTTATTCTCTGTTGTGGGTGCTTGCTTTCGTATCTAAGGCTCACATGTATTCCCCAGGCGCTTCATGCTTCCTAAAAGTCATGGAAACGCGACCTGTAATGTAATTTACGATGCTTGTGTTATGCAAGTTATTTTGGAACATTGTTTCTGATGATTGCGTAGTTTGCAGTGAAAATGACCAGTGCTTTCTGAATAAAAGTGTTTTCTCTTCATATAGAGAGTTCTGGAGTCTGAGGAGCAAGTGCTTGTAATGTATCATAGGTATTGGGAAGAGTACAGCAAGGGCGCAGACTATATGGACTGCCTGTACAGGTCAGTGTGCTTTCCCTGCCGACTCCCCGGGTGCCCGCACTCGGGAACCGTCCCCTTGCGATGCTGTCACTCGGGCTCTCTGCCCCGCGGCTTGGGTGGGTAGCTGGGAGCCCGGCGGGGTGTGGTATGGACCGGATCTCCGGGGATGGCTGCTGCTCACACATTCCGGACTCTCAGCACTTGGTAAGCCTCAGAGGGGAGATCCGCTGGGTGAACCCGCAGTGGAGGGAACGCAAGCCTGGGCCCCACGGCTCCCGCCGTCAGACTGTGTTTCCTGGACGCGCTGCGGAGTCCTTGTCGGTTTCCCTCACCGCGGCCCACAGTGCTGCTCCTGCTGTGGCACCGTCTGGTTGCTTTCCTTCCTTTCTCAAGATGGCTGCTTCCAGCACGTTCTTCCCACGGTCTCTTTGCCAAGCCTGCCTTCCTGGCCGTTCCCGCACTGTGTTCCTGGGGTATTCTGTGCTGATCTTCTCTAACACATTCATGCAGACGTCCACGCCAGCCCCAGGGATCCATTCGGAGATGTGGCGTTGGGCGACTTAGTCGGCATGATGGTGTGATTGTCCTAGGACAATACTCACAGCACGTGTGTCTGACAGCATCATGCTGTTGTCTGTGGGATCCATTGTTGACCGCAGGGCTGTGCTTAGCGTAATTGATGAATGGTGGCCAGATCAGGAATTGGGGAGTTAAGTACACCCTTCAGCAGGGTGTCCTGTCCTGAAGTGGTGGTGGACTGTGGCCTGTGGTGCATGCACTGTGACTTGGTTCTCACTGTGGAGGTGCTAAGGAGCTGAGCTGTTCTCAGAGGTACCTGCAGCCACGTCATGTGTGGCAGGAGTGTAGGCTCTGACCCGTGTGTTGTCCTGGGCCGGCTGGGTCGTCAGCCTGGCATGTGTGTCACAGAGTGACACTTAACTTCCGTTCTGGCCTGTGTCAGGAGCTGGGGCTCATTTCCCAAAGGCCCAGGGGAGCAACACGGAATGCAGTGAGGACCTAGGTACTGGGAAGCCCGGGTGTGCTGTGGCTTTAAAAGGCATCACAAGTCAGTGTTGCAGTACTGAGCCATCTCGACTTGGACTTTGTCCTTATCTGCCAGCATGTGATGATGGTAGAGAGAGCTTTCAGATTCCCTGAGGCAGATCGTGGGGGAGAGCGTGCTGCCCCACCATTGTACTTGTGGGGGAAGGGGCCTTGGATACAGACACCTGGAGGACGATGACCTGCACGCCTCGCGGTGGGTCCCTCCTTGGCGGACACCCGTGCTTCCTGGTTTTCCCTTCGTCCTCCTGCCTTCCTGGGCACCAGTGTCCCGAGTACTGCTTGGACGAGCTCTCAGTCAGTGTTGGCCATGCTCATGCCTACGATCTTCACAACACTGAGTGTGTCTGACAGTGTTTCAGTACAACCCGTATGTGTGGCAGTGTTGTGGTACTCACAACACATGTGTCTGGCAGCATCACAATACTCACAACACGTGTGGGACAGTGTCGCAATACTTACAACACGTGTGTCTGATAGTCACAGTACTTACAACATGTGTGGGACAGTGTCACAATACTCATGACACATGTGTCTGACAGTGTCGCAGTATTCACAACACGTGTGTGATAGTCACAGTACTGACGTGTGGGACAATGTCACAATACTCACATGTGACAGTGTCGCAATACTCAACACGTGTGTGCGACAGTGTTGCAATACTCATAACACGTGTGTCTGATAGTGTCAGTACTCAACACATGTGTCTGACTGTTGCAATACTCATGTGTCTGACAGTGTTGCAGTACTCACAACATGTGTGTCTGACAGTGTCACAATACTCATAACATGTGTGACAGTGTTGTAGTACTCAGAACACTTGTGTGTGTGACCATGTTGCAATACTCACAACACGTGTGTCTGACAGCGTTGCAATACTCAGGTGTCTGACAGTGTTGGAGTACTCACAACATGCGTGTCTGACAGTGTCACAATACTCATAACATGTGTGACAGTGTTGTACTCAGAACACTTGTGTGTGACAGTGTTGTAATACAACACGTGTGTTTGATAGTGTCAATAATCACAACATGTGTGTCTGACAGTGTTGGCAATACTCAGAACACATCTGTCTGATAGTGTCGCAATCTCAGAACACATGTGTCTGACAGTCAGCATCACCGTACTCACAGCACGTGTGTCTGACAGTCAGCATCACCGTACTCACAGCACGAGTGTCTGACAGCATCACAGTACTCAGCACGTGTGTCTGACAAGTCCGCGTCACCATATTCACAGCACGTGTGTCTGCCAGCGTCACCATACTCACAGCACGTGTGTCTGACAGCATCACAGTACTCACAGCACGTGTGTCTGACGGTCAGCGTCACCATCCTCACAGCACGTGTGTCTGACGGTCAGCGTCACCATCCTCACAGCACGTGTGTCTGACGGTCAGCATCACCATACAGCACGTGTGCAGGTGTCGGAAACCGTATGCTTGATGTTTCCGTGTTTGCTGCTGAGGAGTCCAAGGTGCAGAGCAGGCGGTGACTTGGCTCAAGAAGGCGCAGCTTGTGCGTGAAGACCGCTTCTGCCGAATGTCTCTTCTCAAGCTCCCACGTGACCTCTGAAATCGTCTGGTGCCCCAGGGGCTGGGTGCAGGGAATGGAGTGCTCAGCTTGGCGCCTGTGGTGTTGGTGTTGTGTGACTGATGGCTGGTGATTTAACTGCTGGGTAGAATGGGCGGTGCGCCCTCTCCCAGGAGGACGAGGTTGACATCGATTGGGTGACAGCTGTGTGGGGAGCCAGGTCACCCCGGCCGCCCCGTGTGTCTATCCATGAGGGTGTAGTGAAAGGCAGGAGGCACAGACCAGTTTTGTTTCTAAGGGTTTTTACAAAGTGCTTCTTGCCTCTTCTTGACTCTGGTCAACTTAGGAGATGGCTGTTCATTAGCCTGGGTGATTCAGGTGACCCTCCTGCTGGCCTGTCCAGTTGCCCTCCCTGTCTTTTTAGAGCCCGTGGGGCCGAGAAGTACTTACGGTATTATCTTGAGAACAGCTTGTGAAACGCAGTACATGGTAGCTGAGAATAATCCTTGTCAGATTTCCTGGTTAGACTTAAGTGTCTGACTTCTCAAGAGGCTTTAGAGTTACCTTAGGTTATTAGTTGTCAATTACTATGCTTTTTTTAAAGATTTATTTATTGATTTGAAAGTCAGTTACACAGAGAGAGGAGAGGCAGAGAGAGAGAGAGAGAGAGGTCTTCCATCTGCTGGTTCACTCCCCAATTGGCTGCAATGGCCAGAGCTGCGCCGATCCGAAGCCAGGAGCCAGGAGCTTCTTCTGGATCTCCCACACGGGTGCAGGGTCCCAAGGACTTGGGCCATCTTCTACTGCTTTCCCAGGTTCCTTAGCAGGGAGCTGGATTGGAAGTGGAGCAGCTGGGTCTCAAACCAGCACCCATATGGGATGCCGGTGCTTCAGGCCAGGGTATTAACCCGCTGAACCACAGCACCGGCCCCTACTATGTTTTTTAAAAATATATTTATTTATTTGAAAGAGGGAGTTTTCCCATCCATTGGTTCACCCCTGGAGTTGGGCCAGGCCACAATCAGGGTTTAAAGGGTGGCAGGAACTCAAGTGTGTAAGCCAGCATGTGCTGCCACCCAGGTGTGGTGATTCCAACAGGAAGCTGGAATCGAGAGCAAGCTGCAATTCAAACCCCAGGTGTACTAACAGGTATAATTTTTATTTTTTAAGATTTATTTTATTTATTTATTTGAAAGAGTTACACAGACAGAGAAGGAAGGAGAAGCAGAGGGAGAGAAAGAGGTCTTCTATTTGCTGGTTCACTCCCTAGTTGGCCACAACAGCTGGAGCTGTGCTGATCCGAAGCCAGGAGCCAGGAGCTTCTTCCAGGTCTCCCGTGTGGGTGCAGGGGCCCAAGGACTCAGGCCATCTTCTACTGCTTTCCCTGGCCGTAGCAGAGAGCTGGATCGGAAGTGGAGCAACCAGTACTTGAACCGGCACCCATATGGGATGCCGACGCTGGAGGCGGCAGCTTTTACCTGCAACGCCACAGCGCCGGCCCCTTAACTGATCTTCACTGCTAGGACTAATGCGTACCACATTGAGCATTATCATTGCAGAACTGTTAATACTGCAGAAAAGCAAAGTGTACTTGTTAACAAGGTGGCTGGCAGAACGTTAGAAGAATGTGTGCCACTGTACCATACCTGAGTAGAACAGTCAGGCATTATGTCCTCTGGTAGAGTGTAAACTTTTTAAAAGGTACTGGGAGCTTTTTTTTTTTTTTTTTTTTTTAATTATTTCCTATATCATGTATCTATCTTCAGTTATTTAAATTTTTAAAGATTTTGTTTATTTGCAAGACAGAATGACAGAGAGGGGGTGTGAGAGAGAGAGATCTCCTGTCTACTGGTGCACTCCCGAAAGGGCCCTCACAGCCGTAACTGGACCAGGAACCGGAAACTCCCTCTGGGTCTCCGTCCTGGGTGGGGCCATCTGCTGCTGCTTTCCCAGGCGCATTCGCAGGGAGCTGCTGTGGAAGTGGAGCAGCTGGGACTTGAACCAGTGCTCTCACGTGGGGTGCCAGAGTTGCAGGTGCTACCTGCTGCCTCCATGTAGCTTTAAACAGAAACAAATACGTGGTTAGTACGTTTGATTGTAAAATATTACACTACTTGAAAAATAAATTAGGAATGATATCCCTACCAAAATAAGAAATATTGTGTCAACATTTTGCATTGTGACTTTATTCTAAAAGCTTACCAGAAACAGTCTGAAATGAGAAAGATACAGCTGATGTAAGCTAAAGCTTTGTCCCGTGAGGAAGGCGCACCTTTCCCTGCCGGCTCTGCGACAGTCAGAGCTGTAGAAACAGAGTGCTGGTCAGTGCACATCCCAGGTCTCTGCCGTGGAGAAGTGCGCACAGAGCCAGTCTGGAGTCACTTCCTGTTGCAGTGTAGGAGCTGCTGTCGAGGCCGGCGCCGCAGCTCACTAGGCTAATCTCCGCCTGCGGCGCCGGCGCACCGGGTTCTAGTCCCGGTTGGGGCGCCGGATTCTGTCCCGGTCGCCCCTCTTCCAGGCCAGCTCTCTGCTGTGGCCTGGGAGTGCAGTGGAGGATGGCCCAAGTGTTTGGGCCCTGCACCCCATGGGAGACCAGGAGAAGCACCTGGCCCCTGCCTTCGGATCAGTGCGGTGCACCGGCCACAGCGCGCCAGCCAGGTTGGCCATTGGAGGGTGAACCAACGGCAAAGGAAGACCTTTCTCTCTGTCTCTCTCTCTCACTGTCCACTCTGCCTGTCAAAAAAAAAAAAAAAAAAAAGCTGAACAGCGAAGGCAGAAGCTCTAGGAAACTAGAGATGCCAAAGATTGCAATTAGCGGCCCACCGTGGGAGCGGGGCACGTGGAAGGAGGTGACAGAGGTGTAATGAGTGGTGTTAGGAAGGCGGAAGGGCAGGCTGTGTGAATCTGAGCTTTCAGGCGTGCTTCTTGGGACGGCCAGGCCGCCACTCACCTGGGGAAGTGGCCTGGAGCAAGGCTCATGTGGGAGAGCACGCGTCCCTGCCCTGGGAGAGCGTGCAGCCTTGGGAGGCCCTGGTGTGTCTGGGTCCTCCCAGAAGTGGAGCATGCTGAGTGGGCAGAGGCCATGGTTCAGGTTTTCATCTCTGTTCCCAGTGCCTGGGTAGGCCTTGTCCTCCCCCAGCACGGCCAGTCCTGCACGGCAGGAGTCAGGGAGATCGGAGTTCCTGTGCCAGCACTGCCGCCTGCCGGCAGAGTGCCTGGCGGTGAGCTGTGAACCTCTGCGAGCCGCAGCTTCCTGGTGTGTGAAGCGAAGGTCCTAGCCGACCACACGGGCCTGTCTCGCACGGCCCGACCAGGTGACGTGCATGGCGCTGTCTGAGCCATGTTCTCATACCAACTTTTGCCGTGCCTGCTGTCTGGAGTGTGTTCATTGAACAGGTGGTTTTTAAGGACTTGGTGCTTACCTACCCCTGTTCTTAACGCTGTCTACGAAGTCCTGCCCTGTAGACCTTAAGTTCTCCAGCGGAGATGGTCCTATGAAACAGGTAAACCAGTGAGAGGGAGATTATTTCACACAGTAGCAAGTACCCTGAAGAAAAACCCTGTGTACTCTGTGGTTATTGAGTTGACAGTGGGAAGTTATGGTCAGTTTAGATTGGAGGGGCCAGCATTGTAGCTCAGTGGTTAAGCTGCCACGTGGGATACTGGCATCCCATATCAGAGCACTGGTTCCTGGCTGCTCCACTTCGGATCCAGCTCCCTGCTAATGCACCTGCAAAAGTGGCTGATGACCCAGATACTTGGAACCCTGCCACCCATGTGGGAGATACGGATGGAGTTCCAGTCTCTTGACTTTGGCCTGGCCCAGCCTCAGCCATTAGGGCCATTTGGGGAGTAAACCAGAGATGGAAGATCTCTTTCCCTCTCTTGTCTCCCCTCCCTTCTCCTCTCTTCTCCCCTCCTCCCCACCCCTCCCTTCTCCCCTTCCCTCCCCTCCCTTCCTCTCTCCTCTTCCCTCCCCTCTCTCCCCTCCCCTCTCTCCCTTTCAAATAAAATAAATCTTTAAAAAATAATTTAGGCTGGAGTCGAGGCATGGCTGAAACTGCATTTGAGCTGAGACCTGCGTGAGAGGCCAGCGTTAGGGTAGCTGGGGAGGGCCTGTCGGCCGAGGAGGCCAGCCTGGGTCTGCCTTCCACTTTGGTGGCCAGGGCGGCCAGAGCGTCACACACACAGTGGGACCTGCGGCCTCGGAGTGACTGCTGGGCCAGGGCGGCCAGAGCGTCTCACGCACAGTGGGGCCGGCGGCCTCGGAGTGACTGCTGGGCCAGGGCGGCCAGAGCGTCCCACGCACAGTGGGGCCGGCAGCCTCGGAGTGACTGCTGGGCCAGGGCGGCCAGAGTGTCCCACGCACAGTGGGGCCGGCGGCCTCGGAGTGACTGCTGGGCCAGGGCGGCCAGAGTGTCCCACGCACAGTGGGGCCAGCGGCCTCGGAGCACGGTCTCCCAGTTGTGCATGTGGGAGTGGCGCCCGCTGTCCTGCTGCGAGGAATCCTGTTTTTCGTTGTCTCCCAGACTTGGTGGAGTCACAGGCACTGGGAGCGGCCGCCCTTGTTTTAGTTTGCGTTTGCCGGATGCGGAGTTGACCCTTGCTCTGCAGAGTGAGCCTGGCAGGTCCCATCGCTGTGTCTCAATGCTGTGTCGTCAGTGGCTGCTCCCACACTGGCAGGCCTTTGCAAAGGAGCCGCTTTTGGGGAGCGCTGGAGGCACTGGGTGCCGCCCCGGAGGTGGCGTGTGCCCTCGCGGCACGTTCTGCTGTGCTGGGAACTCTGTGTTCACCTTGGGGAGCTGTGGGGTTTGTTGTGATTGCCAGCCTTGGCGTCACTGAGCCATGTTCTTCCTGATCAGAGGCCTCTGCTGGACAGGGGACCTGGTGTCTGTTGGTCTCACCTGTACTTCCTACAGCCCAGCAGTCGACTCCATGTTCTTACCCCTCCCATTATAAAACTGAGTTGACTGTGGCTTTAAAGAAATTCTGTTTAATTTTTTAAAAGTGGACCTATCTTGACTTACCAACAAGTCTGGGAATTAGAAAATTAGGTTTCAAAGGTTTTGGAGATTTCTAGGTTTTCATTTATTATAAATTTTTTATTTGTTTGAAAAAGAGGGAGAGAGAGCTCCCCCGCCACCCACCCCCTCCCGCCATTGGCAGGTTCACTCCCCACACGCCCACAGATGGCAGAGGCTGAAGCCAGGAGTGGGGAATGCATCCAGGTCTCTCGTGGGTGGTAGGAAGCCACTGCTGCTCCCCAGGGTCTGCACGGCGGGGAGCCGACTCAGGAATTAATCCGGGCACTCCGATATGGGACACGGACAGCTTACCTGCTGGGCTGAACACCCACTCCCAGGTGTGGGAGATCCTTGGAGCACAGCCCTTGAGTTCCGTGGGACTGAGCTGATGGTACTGTTGTACTCTGAAGGTGTTCTTTGTCTCTATGGCCGTGCTTAGAGAATTGGGCTGGTAACTTTTATCTTTTTATTTCTACTTTCTACGTAATAATTTCTTTTGGACATGCTACTGAACTATTCTATAGTTAATTTAAAAGGCAAACATTATTGTTCTAAAATTGTAAGTTGTTTTCCTTTTTACCGATTTTTGGCTTAGTTTGCGATGATCCTGCGTTTATTTTTCAGGTATCTCAACACCCAGTTCATTAAAAAGAACAAGTTGACAGAAGCTGACCTGCAGTATGGCTATGGTGGTGTGGACATGAATGAGCCTCTCATGGAGATAGGAGAGGTAGGGCAGACACACGCGTGTCTTTCTGTGTGTGTGTGATTTGACTCAGCGTTGTGGTTAAGGACACTGGGTTGACTGTGTTAAAATTGTCACAGTTTTAACAGCCAAGTTCTAAGTAAATAAAGTGCTGTGATGACTTCCCAAACATCCTCAGGTAGGTCAGACGGACAGAAAAGATCAGAGTGTTACTATTTTATTAATCAAATTTATGAAAGATGAATGACTGGATTAATGGTTCTGCAGTGGGAAAAAGCTCATGAAAGTTATTTAGAAACTGTTGTTAAGCAGTATGAAGAGCAAGGACCTAAAAGGCTGGAAGAGAGGAGACATTCCTTCACGTTCTTGGGGACAGTGCGAATTGAAGCACAGACAGTGACAGACTAGCCCTGCTGGTGCTGAGAGAAGCACTCTTACACAGATTGTGCACGCGGTTGTGTTCTGTGAGAACCTGGTGCCGTGTAGTAGGGACGTGGCACGGTTCATGACGCCAGCCACCTGCGTGCCACGTCCCGCTCTTGTCACAGTGAGCCTCACTGAGTGCTGGCTCGTTCGGTGTCTGTGGGAGGCTGCTGCTCGAGTTGGGAACAGCGCAGAGGGGACTGTTAACTCACGGCACTTGATTTACATATAGGAAGGCGTTGCGAGGATTCATGGGAAATGGAAGGAAACCAGGTTGCTCTGGGTGTAAGAGTCTGGAATCCGCACATAGCTGCTTCATAGAGCACGTTTCCTGTGGGGGTCTCTGGGAAGGAGCAGTGTTTCGTAGAGGGCACCCAGACGTGGAGGCTGCGTCCCACACACCCTGGGTGCCGACTGCATTTCTCTCGGCCTTGCACGCACTCCACAGCTGGAAGACACTATTTTCCTACGCATCAGCTCTTTCTACCCTATTCGTGCTACTTACAAAGAAAACAAGGCACACTGGCAGGTGCTGCTGTGGGGAAATGATTGCTTTTACCTACACCGTGGAGCAGAATGAGGTTGCCCCGGGGACACAGGAAACAGGCTGGAAGTAGCCCACGTGGCTGCAGTTGGGTTGGAAGCAGAGCAGTCAGACTTCAAAACTGATTCGTTTTTGGTACTAGAATGTTCTTTACTCTGAGTGGGAAAAACATTGATGTTCAAAGGCTTCAATATGAAAAACAACACTGGACAACCTTTGCAGGGCAAAGTGGGAGGTCACATGTGACTGAAAGACACAGAAAATGTAAGTCACGGGAAGTGGATGAACCTGAGTACATGAGGATGTGTTTCACTAAGAAACACTGCAGGGGCCGAAGTTGTGGCACGGCGGCATCCCGTGTGGGCACCAGTCCACGTCCCAGCTGCTTGCTCTGATGCACCTCCCTGCTGCTGTGTCTGGAAGGGCAGCCGATGATGGCCCAGGCACTTGGGTCCCTACTGTCCGTGCAGGAAACCCTGATGGAGTTCCTGGCTCCTGGGTTCAGCTTGGGCCAGCCCTGGCCGTTGCAGCCATTTGGGGAGTGAACCAGTGGGTGAAAGATCTCTGCAAATCTGCCTTTCAAATAAATGAATAAATCTTTAATAAATAAATAATAAATTAAAACCCTGTTAGGAAACTGAGAAATTGAGTTGCTAAGACAGACAGCTGTATGTCAGGCTGTGAAGGATTATGCTACATAATCTGTAAGGAACTCCTACGTTTCATCCGGAACAGGACAGAGTTTAACAGTGGGAAAATCCTTAGAGGATGCTTCATGGTAGCAAAACCAAGGAAGTGGTGCCCCGCTGCCCTCGAAAACCACCAGGGGACTGCACCTGGCACGCAGCCGATGGGCAGCGCCACTTGAGAGGAGCCTGGCTGAGGACGATGCTCGTCTGCTGCCGAGTGCCGGCAAGTTGGAATACCCTGGGCTTCGCTGGGTGCCCCACCCTCCGCCTCCCTGTGTCAGGGAGCCCTTGGCCCTGTGGGCCCCGGGCTGCACCCAGGAGTAGCAGCCTTGTGCTCAGTGGGAGGGATCTGGAACCAGAGACCCAGCAGCAGGGGGACAGAACAGTGCATCGTACCGTGGGACACTGCGTGGCGACAGCAGACCGAGTTACAGCTGGGCGCTTCAGTAGCAGCCTGTCCTTGAAAGCCATGGGTAGAACCCAGAGTGCCTGTCGTCACGGAGCTGGTCAGCTTCAGGCTGTTTTGTGGGAGCAGGCAGGATGCGGATACCTGTGGTGGACCGTGGGTCCAGGGGCGTTTTGTCTTATTATTCTTTAAGCCAGCTCTCCCTTTCGTATTTACATGAGGTATTTTCATAATTTGCAAAACCAGCCGACAGCCAGATCATGTTACCTTGTTTAAATCTTTTGTTTCTATTGCGATCTTCATGTCTGTAGCACATCTGCAGTGCCAGGCACTGAACAATCAATAAATGAAGGTTTTATAAAAATCTCTGGTTTCCACTAATTTACAGTTATTGTGGATATTTTAATTCTGTTCTTTGTGTGAGTCTGATGTGATGGTCATTGCCATTTTAAATTAGAAACTTATTCTGTTTTCATTCTCATTGAGTTTTCTTTTGAATTTTGAACATTGTTTTATTTTGGAGAGTATTTTTGCTTTAATAAAGAATCTTAAGCAGATGTTAAGAGCACATACTAAGAATTCAACCTCGATGCCTTCGTTTTTCCTGGCAGCTGGCACTGGACATGTGGCGGAGGTTGATGGTTGAACCTCTTCAGGCCATCCTCATCAGAATGCTGTTGCGCGAGATCAAAAGGTGAGTGCTGGTGCCCCTCCAGGACCAGTCTCCAGGCCGCCCCGCCACCAGCACTGTCCTCCGGGCTGCCCCGCCCACCAGCACTGTCCTCCGGGCCGCCCTGCCCACCAGGCACTGTCTACCAGGCACTGTCCACCAGGCCACCCCCAGCCAGGCACTGTTCTCCGGGCCGCCCCACCCACCAGGCACTGTCCTCCAGGCTGCCCCGCCCACCAGGCACTATTCTCCGGGCCGCCCCGCCCACCAGGCACTGTCCACCAGGCCACCCCGCCCACCAGGCACTGTCCTCTGGGCCGCCCCGCCCACCAGGCACTGTCCTCTGGGCCGCCCCGCCCACCAGGCACTGTCCTCTAGGCCGCCCTGCCCACCAGGCACTGTCTACCAGGCACTGTCCACCAGGCCACCCCCAGCCAGGCACTGTTCTCCGGGCTGCCCCGCCCACCAGGCACTGTCCTCCAGGCCGCCCTGCCCACCAGGCACTGTCTACCAGGCACTGTCCACCAGGCCACCCCCAGCCAGGCACTGTTCTCCGGGCCACCCCGCAGGCCGCCCCGCCCACCAGGCACTGTCCTCTGGGCCGCCCTGCCCACCAGGCACTGTCCTCTGGGCCGCCCCGCCCACCAGGCACTGTCCTCCAGGCTGCCCCGCCCACCAGGCACTATTCTCCGGGCCGCCCCGCCCACCAGGCACTGTCCACCAGGCCACCCCGCCCACCAGGCACTGTCCTCTGGGCCGCCCCGCCCACCAGGCACTGTCCTCTAGGCCGCCCCGCCCGGCTGGGGCTTTGATGGAACTTAGGCCTCCTTTTGCTGTGATGGCCTCGTGCTTCCTAGTGCCAGGGTTCTAAAGCTGTCTCAGCGTCTGCAGTTCCATCTGGGGGCTTTGCTCTCGTCCAGCATCCTCATACACTTGGTAGATGGATAAGCGCCTGAGGCCAGGGACCTGTGGCTTCTGTATCCTGAGCCTGGTCCCCTACACTCAGGTTACGTCCTGACAGGGTCACTGCCAGGACGTAGGCTCTCCTCGTCAGCGGTAACTTCTGTGCCGCACAGGTGGCTGTGTGAATGCGGTTTGGACAGAGCAGTTCCCAGTGCAGTGGGAGTGGAGCAGGCCTCGCCCTGCTGGCAGCTCCACGTCACAGGAATGTGTGTGTGAGGGTGGGAACTGTGGGGCTGCTCCGCCCACATCTCTCGCTGCAGCAAGTGCCCAGCACAGAGCTCTCCAAGCCAGGGACGGTCTCTTGCTGCACTGGTCCCCCCATGAGGCTCCCGTAGGAAGGAAGGGGTTAAATACACACTCTGGCCAGGAAAGAGGAGCAAGGGCAGCTGTTTCACGTTAAAAGTATGAAAATATTGTTACAATTTCTGGAAGTACTTTTATGATATGTCTCTTCTAATATAATTTTGTTCCAACCCAGTAAATTTTTCTTAACTGTGATCGTTAGCTTGTTAAAATGAATTTGATAAAAAATGGATGAATCTCTATGTAAGAAAAATAGCACAACTCTATGATACTTACTCTGGAAAATACGTGATGATCTATCTGGTCACAGACGTTAGCACAGCCTGTCTTATTTCCAGTTTCCGTCAGTGTGTTGTTAGCCGTACTTTTCTCCATGTACACATTCCTCACGTCAGCTCTATCTGATGGCTGTTATCCCACATTTTCCTGAAACGGAAATCAACATTATAATAATGAAAATTAAACATGGGGTAGAAACATTTTCATGCATAATACCTTGAATAGTCCGGTGTTTTCTCAGATAGTCTTTATGAAATCTTGAGAACCCAGGACCAGTTTTATTTGTAAGTAAATTACTCACGAGGAGATAGGAATTCCTGGACTTGAGCTAGCACAGGAAGCAAGCTGCAAGCATTTTAGCCTTCCAGAGTGAGTGTTCCCGGTGCACTGCTTGGACGTCTGCTTTCTGCTCTTGTTTGTGCCAGCATGGACAGGTATCCTCATGTTACCGTGAGTGAGCTGTGGTGGCAGGCACTCTAAGTAACCTCGTCTGACCCTTACAAAGGATAGAATGGCGAATATCACCATGAACTCATTTCACGAGGCAGGAAAATGAGGCTGGAATCAGACACAGCTTCCCTGTGTTGTGTCCAGGGTGCCTCAGAACCGGAATTAGAACTTAGGTCATTCTGCTCCCAAGGGCTGTGGTGTCTCCATATGTGCTGTGTCCTTAGAAATCATTTGTTCCGGCCGCATCTCACTGCCAGACTTAGAGAGTAAACTCTCTTCACAGTGTGGCAGAACCTGTTGTGTATTTGATTTCCTAAACCTTTCTCACTGCTTTCTTTCCTTGAGTCACTGTCTACTCTGTACAATCTAGAGAGCTTATTTTGGGCTGGTGGTTGGCCACATCTGGCCATTGTAAATCAAGATTACACCAGGCATGTTCAAAGAGGATCTTTGTTTATTTTTACTTTTTTGAAAAAGAGGAAGGGAAACTGGTTCACTGGTTCATTCCTCAAACGCCAGAACAGCGAGGGCTGGTAAAGGCTGAAGCCAGGAGGCAGAAACTCAGTCCAGGTCACCCACAAGGGTAATCTGGCCCCAACTACTTTTTCACCTGTCCCTCCCAAAGTGTGCATAAGCAGGAAGTGTAGACAGAACTTGAACCCCACATGCTCTGATACGAGATGTGGGCATTTCAAGCAGTGTCTGTAATTGCCATGCAAACACTGCTCCATCAAGAGAATATCTTTTTATGTTTTTATTTTATTTTATTTGAAAGGCAGAATGACAGAGAGAGGAAGATACAGAGAGAAGAGAGATCTTCCATCTGATGGCTCACTCTCCAAACGGTTGCAATGGCTGGGGCTGGGCCAGGCCGGAGCCAGGAGCCAGGAACTCCATCCAGGTCTCCCACATCAGTTCAGGGACCCAAGCACTTGGGCCATCTTCTGCTGCTTCCCCAGGCGCATTAGCAGGGAGCTGGATCAGAAGTGGAGCAGCCAGGACTTGAACCGGCTCCAGTATGGGATGCCAACACTGCAGGTGGTGGCTTAACCCACTACACCACAACGCCAGCCCCAAAAGAGTATCTTTCTACAAAAAAAGTCCTAACAGTGCTATGCACTGATCTGCAGGAAAATATGCAGGAGGTTGCTAAGGAAAGTCAGACCTTTCTCTTCTGCCAGTGTCTCAAGTGCTGCTACTTAACGGCAGCTTCTGTGAAGGACTTTAAGTGTTTTCCAATAAAAGTTCTGTATGGTTGGAGATTGTGTTGTACATGCACACATATCTATACGTTTATATGGTATACGCATGAATACTTGCATATGTACTGGGTAATACATGTACATCACAGGCATCAAAATATGTGTTTTCCTGGAAAGTTCTGAAAACCCCTCTATACATGAATTTCAGAGTTTATTGCAGTAAAATAAACACCTTTTAATCTCATTTTCCATGAACTTTTTTTGAAGAGGTGTGTGTGTGCACACTTTGGGGAACTTTTTGGAAGCATTTATATCTGGTTCCCCTCCCATCTGCACTGAATCAAACTCTAGAGAGTAGGAACTTTACGTTCATGCATAAACCAGGCTAGCATTTGTGAAGGCCCACTTAGTAAAAAGCTTCATAAAAAGATTATTTACCCGAAAGGCAGAGAAACACAGAGAGAGAGAGGGAGAGAGAGGGGTCTTCCATCCACTGATTGATTCCTCAAATGGCCACAACAGCTGAGACGGGGCCAGCAGCCAGGAACCCTCTCTGGGTTTCCCAGGTGGGTGGCAGGTGTCTTCTGCTGGTTTGCCAGGTACATTAGCAGAGAGCTGGATAGGACGCCTAGCAACTGGGACTCAAGCCCCTGGTGAGAACTGTATTTGCTTAGTGGAACTCACAGATTGCGAGTTGCAGTGTGCCCATGTTTTGCTTTTGTTGAACTGGTAGAGGTTTTTTTGTTCTGAAGTGGAGCAAAACTGTGGTGACTCAATCCCTCTCTGTGGTCTGCTTTTCCTGTTGGATTTGTTGGTCTATCTTGTGCCAACCTTACTGTGCTTATTGTGATTGTTTACTAAGCCTTAGTATCTGCTCGCAGAGGCCCTTCACTTGTTCATGTGACTTAATTGTCACCTTTCCAGAAGATGGTCATAAATCACCTGTAAACGTTCTCTGCGGCATTGAAATTGAATCTGTTCGTTGGTTTGGAGAGAATGCCCATCTTCCCATCCATGAACATGGTATATCTGTCATTACATTTTCTCTAACATCTCCGAGTAGGTTTTTCTGTAAAGGTCCTGTGTGCTTCTTTGATGTGTTTCGAGATAACTTGCTGTCATCTGATACTTTTATGTGAAGTGTGTCACCAAGAGGGCTTTGTGCTTCTGGTCAGAGGACCCCATTACTAAATGAGAGTATTGATAATGCTGTGTTGTCATGGTGAAGATGAAGTGAGATGCTTCGTGTAAAGTGTTCACCGCAGTGCCTGGAGCTTCGTGGATGTGGGTTAGAATTATCCTGGTCCAAGTAAAGACTCCATGGTTCTCTGGTGTGCAGTCTCCATAAAGCTCACAGCTCTACTTGCCCTTCGACACGTGTGACAGATGCAGCTAACGGACGTCCGTCTGCAAACCTGTGATAGGATCAAGCTTGATTTTTTTCCCCCCACCTTTGGGGGACCGATTGCAAACACGTGGCACAGTACTATTGGGTGTATTCGAAAAATGACTCTCAGCCTGCATGGTCTCTGCAGCCTGCTCTTAAGCTTTTTAAGGTGGTTTCTCTGAGTCAGTGGGATGAACAGCAGGACCGCTTGTCCCGTGGCCGCCGCCTCACTTGTACGGGGCCTTCCAGTCCCAAGGCGGTGGCTGTGTCCTACGACCTGACGCACAGAGTAAGCTCTCCCTCGGTTACGGTCCTCCGGGACTCCACGGCTCTGGCAGGGGTTGCACGCGAGTGCAGTGGGATCTTCAGGCAGGTGGGAAGGTCTGAAGGGACGCAGATAGAAAACCGAGACAGCCCCACGGGAGATGGACAGGGGGCCCGGGGCCGGATGGCTGTGGCTTCTTGTGAAGGAGGCCTCTCGTGAGGAGCGCAGACCCTGCAGAGCTCGCTCAGGCGCGCAGCTTGGCAAGGGCTGGGTGTAGGTCGTGTGAGCTTCCAGGAGGGGCAGGCGTCGGGTGCGGCGGCCGAGAGGCTGCTTTGGATGCTTGTCCCCCACATCAGCGTGCCTGGGTGTGAGTGCTGGCTCCGCTCCCAATTCCAAACTCCTGCTCATGCGCACCCTGGGAGGCACGTGATGGCTCAGGTACCTGTGTCCCTGCCATCCCTGTGGGACACCCGGACTGCGTTCCCGGCTCCTGGCTTCGCCTCCAGCTAGGGACTATTGCAGGCATTTGAGGAGTGAACCAGCAGGTGGGAGATCTCTCTCTCAAATACACAGTAACTTGCAAAACATTTTCTTTAATTAAAAAAAAAATCTTGGCTTAGGAACGCATGAAACAGCAGTTTGATTATTTTCGTGGAATCGTTTGAAGTCTGCACACCAGATTTCCTTGATGATCGGGAAGCGCCTTGTTGCGGTTACGCTCGTGGTTTGGGCATCCTGCAGAGGCCAGTGTGTGAGAGTGTCGCCCCAGAATCTGGCATGCAGGCTAACGGATTCCTGTACTGGCTGATGGATTCAGGGAGTGCAGACTTGATCTAATTATGGATCTAGGAGGGCCCCGAGGGAGGTCTTCAGGTCACTGGGGGCTGCCCTGGGAAGGCAGCTGGGTCTGTGAGCCCAGGAACCTTGTCTCAGGTTGCTGCTCCTGGGTACTTGAGTGAGGGTGACAAGCTGCCTGCTCGGGTGTGCTTTTGCCTGTGTTTCACTGAAGGCTGTAGGTAAACCCTGTGCATACAGCTTGGGCTTCCAGTGTGGTGGTTGTGTCGTTTTAACAAGTAAAATGCTGTAGTTTCATGGATCTAAGCATTGCAGTGTAAGAATTGGAGTCTTTTTAGTGTTACACAAAGAGGTGGGCATAAGCAAACAAACAGTTGGACCCAGAAGTAACAGAGAAGTAAACCTGCGAGAACTTTGACCTTGCACTAGATCCACAGTTGGATGTGCGAAGTCACAGTGAGAAGGAACTTGACAGGGTCTCGGATGCAGCAGAAGGAACCGCTTATCTGCCTAAAGGCACAGTGCAAACAATGCTTTCAATGCTAAGTGGATTGAAAATGGCTTTTCTTTTCCCAGTCAAGTTTCTAGTGTTCTTTCAACAAAAATTTAAGTCAAATATTTTTCTCTTTGAATTTGAACTTTTTGAGATCATGTTGCGTGTTTGTATTATTTAGTCTTTTTATTATAAAGTGAAATGTAACTCAGGGATGGAATGACACAAAGGTACACTTAGTCATTCTGAGGTGAGTGCCCTGGGGCCCCTGCCCCGACCCCAGAGCCCTATGTATGCCCACTGCCCACCCTTTCTCCAGAAGTGGCCACTGTCTCACCTTCTAAGGTCATCACTTCCAGTTTTTTACACTTTTGTCAACTCCATGGTTGAGTCTAGTCCATTCTGAAGGAAACTCTGTGTCTCTTAGGTCTTTTAATCAACAGGTGCACCCCTCCCCCCCTTTTGTTCCCCTATAATTCTGATGAGTCCCCAGGCTCTGCCCTGGTCTGGACTTTGCTGACTGAGTGCCTGGGGCATCTTGCAGTTGTTCCCTTGTCCTCTGAGGTCCTGCAGGATAGGCCGTGCGGTGGCCTGACCTGCCCAGGTCCGAGCTCTCCCGTGGGACTAGGATGATGGCGCGAGCTTTGTGACTGAGCCCCCGAGGCTCAGCACTGATGCCAGTGAGTTTGCTAGGGTTTGTGAAGCTCTCGTTTTGTTCTCGTGTGTTGCCTGGATGATTGTGTAAAGAGAGGCACCCCAGTGCCGCCTGCACTCTGGGCCATGACTGTGGCTGTCCTGTCGTGGTGGGCCCTCAGACTTGACGTCTGCGAGTCACGGTGTCCCACTTCATCTCACGCGGATCCTTCCCAGAGCTGCTCGGTGAGGAACAGCTGTGTGTCTCACATGGGATACTGATGGTGCA